AATTTAATGGGTTCTTTCTTGACACATGCTTCAACCTTTCACCAAGTTTTATGAAATCAGGCCAGTAGTCTTTCTGTAATCCTGCTGACAAAAAAAGACGAACTGAAGATATAACCTCCTTCACGTGAATTTTATAGATACTTTCAATTAAGGGACTACTACAAAAGGGAAATCAAATCAGATTCTTCCAAGGAGGTGAATTGTGTTATCTTAATCATAATTAAAGCATATCAGGAAAGTTACATAGGAATAATTTTGGCATTATATCAAGGACTGAATATGAATGATTAACATTCAACTAAATATATCAAGGTGAAATGAGAGAAAGAATTCAATGTAGAAATATTTCTTAATGAAATTAAATAAAGACTGCACTGGGAAAAATAAAAACAAAATATAACCTCCTTGGCGGAAATAACAAGATTTAAGAAGTGAAACTCTTAAGTGTACCTCAAAGGCGGGTGCTGGGGTGGTGTAGAGGTTGAGCATGTGGCGTGAGGAGGCTGGTGTGGAGGAGTTTGGTCCGATGGGAATCCCGGCCTCAGACTGGCGAAAAGTAGGCGAGTAGAAGAACTTAGTGGTGCGCTGGAGGCTGTCGGTCTCAGGAAATGCTCTTCCCATGGCATCCAAACACACGGTCACTCCCTGGTGGAAACAGTAACACTGTGTGGAGCCAGCAGCTGGGCCAACACATCATCATCAACATCATCATCATCATGAAGCCTCACCTGCAGGAAGAACTCAGTGTTGGTGTCCTTGGTGCTGAGCAGCATGGCGCTGGTTCCTGAGGTCCCAGAGGTCATGGCCAGGATCAGCGGCTTCTCAGCAATGATCACCTTTTCCTCTCCTGCCGCGATGCGACTGATGAGCTCACGATAGTGCTCATATGTGGTGATGGGGTGACGCGCCCGGAAGCTGCCGCTGTCTGAAAAATAACAACCAGTTTTAAAGTTTTCTGTTCATCAGTCAAATCTGTTTTTACAAGTCATTTAATTTTTTAATTACACTAACTGTTCCCTAAAGCCCCCTTCAGAGTATTTTAGTGATTCATCCCTCTCTGCAGTAATACTGTCATTCATAGCCAAAGCAACCATTCAGGACACTGAGATATGGATTTGTTTTTGTCTCAGGAAATTTGGGAGCTTTAACAATCTAAGAGGTTTACACTTATTTTATAATTATGAATCAAATACACATGGTGAATGTTTTAAAGGTAGTAGTGTTGTCACTAGTCTTAAATTTAACTGTTTTTAGCAAACAAAGAACATTAATTTAGAGGGACTTTATATTTATCGGAGGTACTTAAATCTGGACAGACAGAAGATTAATCGCCATTTACATTGATAATTGGTTAATTATTATCAATTATTATCAGTACCCTTTTCCAGATTGTCCTGCGCTTTATGCCTCTAATAAATTAACAAGATGGCGCCAATGCAAGTGGCAGCCTTTCATGTAGCTCTGTCTTTGTAGTGTGTTTTTTACCCTTATCCACTGTTTTTCTATCCATATGTGTATCCGTGTCTGTGTCAAAACCTACTGGAGGTCCATCCGTCTGTGTCAAAAGCTACTGGGGGTCCGTCCGTCTGTGTCGAAACCTACTGGGGGTCTGTCCGTCTGTGTCGAAACCTACTGGGGGTCCGTCCGTCTGCGTCGAAACCTACTGTGGGTCCGTCCGTCTGCGTCGAAACCTACTGTGGGTCCGTCCGTCTGTGTTGAAACCTACTGGGGGTCCGTCCGTCTGTGTTTAAACATATTGGGGGTCCGTTTGTCTGTGTCGAAACCTACTGGGGGTCCGTCCGTCTGTGTCGAAACCTACTAGGGGTCCGTCAATCTGTGTAGAAACCTACTGTGGGTCTGTCTGTGTCGAAACCTACTGTGGGTCCGTCCGTCTGTGTCGAAACCTACTGGGAGTCCGTCTGTCTGTGTCGAAACCTACTGGGGGTCCGTCTGTCTGTGTCGAAACCTACTGTGGGTCCGTCCGTCTGTGTCAAAATCTACTGGGGGTCCGTCGGTCTGTGTCAAAATCTACTGGGGGTCCATCTGTCTGTGTCAAAACCTACTGTGTATGTGATACACTGACGACAGATTATGCTACGTTTCATCTACCTTGGAAGTCAGAGGTCAGAGCTGGGAATGACATCATACCCATATTGAGAGAGCCATCATAGAATTTGCATTTGGCGTTGATGAGGTTCCTCTGACTTTGCGAGTCAGAAATCCAGTATACATTTAGGTACACTATACAACCCCACTTCAAAAAAACGGAACTATCCCTTTAACGACCTTTTTGCCTGTTATGTAAGGGTTAAATGAATATAGATAATGTGAAGAGGAAGAAAATACAATAATGTTCAGGTTCTAAAGGGGTGAGGCTGTGCTTTCACATTTTAAGTTTAAATCCTGGTTACGGCCCTGCTGTCATACTGACTGTGCAACCTATAGGCCACTGATTCTCAACTAGCGGCCCGTGGGCCAAATCTGACCCGTGACAGGGTGCTGGGTGGCCCCCCAACCATTTTCAAAATTCACAATGAAATGATTTACAATGTGGGTTTTTTTGCACTTTTAATGTAAATCAGGTGCCAATGTGCATAAAATGCACCAAAATAGAGCTTGATTAATCAAGGGGAGGACCCCCTCGGACCCCAAACAGAGGTCCAGGCTGAGCCCCAAGTGTCCTAAAATCCTAAAACAGCCCCTGCATACACCTGACTTGTGCAGGGCTTTTGCCACTGTCCCCTGGCCACCTGTGATTTTGCAAAAGGGCAAGGCAACTTGAGTATCCCTGCTATAGGTTGTGGCCATCTATACACACACACACACACACACACACACACACACACACACACACACACACATAAGATTACATCACAGGCAGTCAGAGGACAGAGGAGGTATTACAACACGTGCAGTTTGTTGTCCTGCAGGAGTTTGACTCACGCTTAAACTCACAAACACCACGTCAAACCCCTCTCACTAATACCACCTTATTGTTTCCTTACCTTTAATGGAGTTGAAGTCGTACTGTCTTCCATAACATGTTTTTGCGTTTTTACTCAGGCGCTTCAGCAGCGTCTCCTCCTGGACCTGCTTCACATTCAGAGTATCGGCTTCAAGTTTCCTCCTCTGCCGCCTGCCCAGCCAGCCCACACCTTTCACGGCCAGATACTGACTGAGCAGACTGCTCAGGGTCCGCTTCTCACCTCTCATCTTGGAGCTCATGTCCCTCCAGAGCAGCGCCATCCCGGCCAGAGAGACCACACCGAGGGCGGCGGGCAGAGGACGCGGCATCGCTGTGGAGAGGAGTCGGTGTTACACAAGGAACATAAGAGGCCCATGAGCCAGGTGGGGGCGCTGTTAGCCAACATTACACCGTTAGCTGGCTCAGCTACTGCCAACTGCACACAGCTGCTCCATCAGACTACACTTACAGCACCCCTTCTCTTCATTTCACACACCCACCTTCATCACACTGAGGACACTTACCCTGATTTTGCCAAATGATGGCGACGGCAACAGATAAAACCGCCAAACAAAGCGGCACGGCAACGCGAAACAAACTGAAAGCCATCCTCAGAAAACACTGTGACCTAACGGTGCTGTGTTTTTAACCGCTTGCATATATAATAACGTTTTAACCGCATTTATGCGACAACATCAGAGAGGACTGAACTTTTGCTTTCGCAGGCGTTTGAGCTGCTTCCGTGTTTGGGTCGCAGCCTGAAGCGCTGATTGGCTGACATCAGGATGACGTATGACTGATGTTTGATGATCAGCACACAGACATAATTTTTTTTTATAAAAGGAAAGATGACTCAGATTTAGCTTTTTTATAATTTTTGGCAAATCATAAACACATAAAATTAAATGTAAAAAATAGAATAACAAAATTAAAAAAATGTAAAAAATATTTAGCTATATTCAAACTCTTAAAAATAATAAATAAGAAATAAATAATAATTAAAAAAAAATTAAAAAAGGAAGAGAGAAAACGGCCACACTGTTGTTTCCATGTTAAGAGTGGACTTTCACGCTTTAAATATATTTTATTTTCATTGCTTATTTACATCTATTATGTAATTTACAATAGTGTGTTTATGCACAATAATGCACCTGTCTATAGCCGCTTATTTATGACTGTATGTTTGTTGATCAGGTTCAATATTAGGCTTAATATAAATAAATGATTTTTTTTTTTTTAAATTTACATTTATTAGTTTGCAGTGCCCCTTCTTAAATAACTAAACTAAACTAACTAGATAAATAAATAAACAAACAGAAAATATTTTGTCTGGAGCTGTATTTATTGTGCAAGTTGTGATAACTATTTGCTCTTTTACATATATAATTTTCAATGGTGTTTTTATGCACAATAATCATCTTTCTAGCTGCTGATTAATGTCTGTATGTTTCTTGATCAGGTTCAATAATAGGCTTACTAAAACTTAATAAATAAATAAGGAAAATATTTGGTCTGGAACTGTAAATATTGCACACATTGTACTATATATTTTTTATTGCTTATTTACATATGTTATTTACAATAATGTTTTTGTGCATAATAATGCACCTTTCTAGCCACTGATTAATGTCTGTTTGTTGATCTGGTGCAATAATAGGCTTAATAAAAATTAAATAAATAACAGAAAATATTTGGTCTGTAACTGTATATTGCACAAGTTGTGGTTTCACCAGATTCATTGTTTTTTGTATTGATACTTTGTTTTCAGAGCACATTTAGTTTACACCCCTAAAATTTTGAGGGTAAAAGTAATCAATTATAATAAATAATAAATCTTTTCTACATTGTTTGGCAAATTCCATATAAGTAGGTTAAATTTTGTCATAAATGCCAATTTTTTTCCTGTCTTTGAATTCGTTTTTAAACAACACGCAAACATAAGAGACACATCAAAGAGGCAGATAAGTATTAACACCTTAAAATCTTTAATTTATTTTCAAATTGAAAAACTTGTAGTTACACAAAAAGAGGGGAGCAAACACACATGGGTTGAATCTGAAAGAAAACACAAAATTAGAACTTAAGATTAAACAAATGTCCATCTTAATGAGGATAAAGTTAAACTAATAATGTGCAGGATAAACTAAAGAGAAAGAAACTGCTTACCAGATTTTATTCGTTTATTGCTCATTATTTTCTCTGCTGAAATAATCATTATGTTATTATTAGTAACACACACTGTGTCAAAGGCACGTTTGACCTCATGATGCACTGGATGTACAGTAATTATAAGCATAATTTAGGAACATGATCTATCATGTCTATGATGTATGAAAGCTGTAACATTATGGTTCATGTCCTGAGCCTGTGATGACTCCCTCTCGCCTCTGGCTGTACATCAGTCCACAGAAACCTCTTCATCAGCCCTCCTCCTCAGAACCTGCACAAACATCACAGACCACACTGACACCTTTGAAGTCAGGGCCACACTGGAAATGTTCAATCAGAGAGATCTGCACTTCGCTCACCTGTTTCATTTCCATGGCGACAGCTGATAGCGAAAGAGCACAGATAATTATAAAGTGATAAACACACGATGAAGCTCATTCTAGATATGATTTTGTACTCTTTTATTTTGGACTAACCTGCCCAGTAAGAGGAGGGTAACATCAAAGGTCCATCGACAGACAGCTCAGACAGCCGCGACACCTCGGCTGGGTCGTCGACAAATAACTCTTCGGGTTCGTCCACACAAAGCTCAAACTCTGCTGTGACATAAACACAGAGATGCTCAGTGTGTTGTCTTGACGTCCTGGGATGCAAGACAACTTTAAGGTTTTTTTTCTGGCAAACAGTCTAATCAAATCAAAGATGGGAGGCACAGAATGACAGCTGACGGAGAGCTGCAACATCTTGGGACATGTTTGTTCCTTTCAGCTGACCTGTGACCTCCTCTTCCTCCTCCTCCTCCTCCTCTTTGGACCAGGCTGCTGCTGTTTCGACTGCAACACTGCAGTCAGACATGGAGGACGTGAGGCTGTTGCTCCAGAGTCTGTGTGCTAGGCGTGTTGTGTCACAGATGTAGGCCTCTCTGTAGGAGTGACTGGCTGAAGAGAGACAATCAGGACTGTTTTTACATACGAAACTGGTTTAAACATCCCATAATATTAGTCTTTTATGATACTGTTTTCAAAATGCTTTGGCTCAGTTGTAATGACTTTGAAGTGAAATTATTAAACAATGGATTTCTTTTCAGATGTCTGACCCTGCATGTCCTCCAGCTGTTGGATGTAGCTGACTGCAACTCTGGTGCTGATGTGGAGCCGGTGACTGTCAGTGAGGTGCCTCAGGACGTGTTTGGCGTGGAAGGCTGACGGAGTGTAGTACACCAGCTTAGAGAGGCACAGAGAGCCCACTGCGGTGATTTCAAACCTGCTGCCCTGGAGAAGAAAGAGACATACAGTGCTTTACAGTCCAATACCGTATGTGAATATATGTATGCTTAGGTGTGTGTGGTCTTTGGAACCAACCTGGAAGGTGAGGCGCTCGATGTCGCTCCAGGAAAAATCATACAACAGGCACTGCTTCCCCTCCACCTCCTTAAGAAAAGTTTTCATTGTTTATAGGTTAATGTGTCAGATTTAAGGGGATATAGTACCATCTAGTGGTGAGGATTGCAGATTACAACCAGCTGAAACGTCTTAAAATACTTTCAGTGTTCTTTGTGTAGGAGGTTTGTAGGAGCCTAATTGTCTGCAGAGGTCGCTTCCTCTCCAAAACAAACAGACCAGGTGATTTAAAGTTATTTTTCTGGGCATTTTTAGCCTTTAATGGATAGGACAGACAAGTGTGAAAGGGGGAGAGAGAGAGGGAGTGACATGCAGCAAAAGCCACAGGCTGGAGTCAAACCCGGGCCGCTGCGGCAACAGCCTTGTACATGGGGCGGCTGCTCCACCACTAAGCCACAGACGCCCCCAGACCAGGTGATTTAAACTGGTGTTTTTCTGAAGCTGAAATGTTATGGAGAGGCTGCGAACTATGGTAGCAGATGCGAAAATGCAAATAGCGCTGTCTAGAGCCACTACACTAAAGAAAACATACGAAGTAACCTCTATTATATTCCATTTCTGCGAATATATCCTTCTAAATCTTACACACTGGACCTCTGATACATGCAAAGGAGTAAACTGATTGTAGATGAAAATGAAATAATAGAAATCATCATGTCGTAACATTACTTGTGGTGTACCCCAGGGGTCAGTATTGGGACCTAAATTGTTTCTATTATAACGACTTATGTAGAGTTTCAAAAACATTAAAATTTGTATTATTTGCGGATGACACCACTATTTCACGCTCCAGAGAGTATGTACAGCTGCTTTTGATGGAGATCACAACAGAAATGAATAAACTAAAAAGATGGTTTGAAAAAGACCAAAATGATGTCATTTGGAAAATCGGAAAAATTGATACGTAAGTAAGTAATACCTAAGTTGATGTAGAAAAAGTGTATGAAAATCGATTTCTGGGAGTGATACTTGATCATGAAATCAGCTGGAAACCCCAAATAAGTTACTTTAAATCAAAGCTGGCAAGGAGCAGGAAAATCAAGACACATACTGGACCATAAATCACTATATAATCTACTGCATCTTAATTGCTGTGTGGAGGTCTGGGGAATTTATGTATATTACACATAATGTTGGATATAGGGAGCACACAAACACATTGTTTTTAAAGTCACATGCATTGGAATTCAGGGACTTGGTTAAATAATCTTCTTCTGAGCAATATTCAAAAATTGTTTTGTGACGGAGGGGGGATATTATTCAAGAGGAAATAGGTCTAAATAAACCATTGTCTTCATACAACCTCGATAAGTCTGTGTATTTGAGTGTGTGGGGTGGATTTATGTAACAGGTTAGATGAGGAGTTAAAGGGAAGCACAACTATAGAGCACTTTAAAAAGATGTACAGACAGATTATTTAGGAGGTATGCAGGCAAAGAGGGGTGATGCTGATGGGTTGATTGAGATGGGCTTTGTATATGTTAATATCTAAGACCATTGTTTATTTATCTATATTAATGGTTGTAGATAAGTTTGGGATAGTTGTTAACAATTTCCTTTTAAAATGAGACATGAATACTCAGAAGGGGGTACAATTATATACGCATACACTTCTTCCTACTCCTTGTTTTGTTTGCTTTGGTTTGTTTTGTTTTTTTCTCAAAATCAAGTCATTCATTCATTCAAGGCCAAATCTCTCAAGAATGAATGTATATATGCAAAAATAAATTCCCAAACTGTATGTATCTGTCACTGTGGAGGACCCACCTGATAGACATGGACTCCTCTCAGTGTCACACCCAGAAGGATTGAACTTCTCACCTCTCTTTTCTCCTGCTCATAAAATAACAGACGAAGAAGGAGAGTTTGAAATATAAAACATGAGCTCAGGTAGCAGATGTTGTTATGCTTCCTCAGTTTAATATTCTAAACAGCCTCACAACTTTCAGATTTTCTGACTGTGCACACCATGACAGTGACAGTAAAGGATGTAGGTTTCATTTCGATATGAGGGGATACATGAAACGGGAGTTAGGGGGTCTTCCACCACGTACCTGTCAAACACTTGATTTCTTGCATCATAGTGAATATTTGTGCACCAATTTGTACATTTTCTGCATTGATTTATGGTGTAAATATATTTAATTTTTTCAAGAAAACGTCCTCTGTGCCTTTCATGTTTTTATGGGGATGAGGCTTAAATGCACACGTTTTAAATATTGAGGTGTCCCCTGTGTCTCCCTCTGAAATCTACCCCCATGGTTACAGTATTCTGATGGTTATCTTTGGTTATGTCTGTGCAGTCCGACCTGTCTCATCCTGTAGAAGGTGACTGGTCCATCCTGCAGGCTGACGGCCTCTCTTATAAACTGTAGGACAGCCTGACTGCGCGTCACACCTCTCAGCTCAGTGTGTAACACCGGGCAGTGCTGGAGCATGAAGTCTCGCCCACGACGCTTTATCAGCTGAGGACATAACTCATGTTATAAACACACACATATAAATGTAAGGTTAAGATCAGCTCCAAATGGTCACACTACCCAAGAGGGGAAGTAATCCTCGGGGAGAAAGTAATGTCTGTGTTTTCTCCTCTGTCCTCTCTCTTCTCCCTCCTCTTCATCATGCCCCTCTGCTCTTGGCTGCAGATCTCCGACTTCAGCCTGTAGAGCAGAAGCTGCCAGCTGGAAGAACAAAGCTTCCTGATGGCGGCTCTGTGAGCGCAGCACCGTCTGCCTCAGCTCAGCGTAGTAGAGCTGCTGCACTCTGCTGCTGCTGAAACAACCAGAGGACAGAAAATCACAGAGGATCTGTGTCCATAGAAAATATTTAAGAAGTCTCAAATTTCTGTCTTAAATGAGAAACTTTCTCAAATAATAATAACTCTGTTTTGTTTCTGAAATAATCTGAGACACTAAGTCATTATTTTGAGATAACTAACTCATCAATTTGAAATAAGTAAGTCTTTATTTTTGAGATATTAAGTCATTATATCAAGATACAAACTCATTTTGAGAAAGTTTCTCATTATTTTCTGATTCTAAGTCATTATTTTAAGATATTACGTCATTATTTTGAGAGGTTTATTCATCACGTTGAGATACTAACTCTTTAATATGAGATAAGTAAGTCATTATTTTGAGATTCGAGAAGTCATTGTATTAAGATACAAACTTGTTATTTTAAAGGAAGTTTATCATTATTTTCTGATATTAAGTCATTATCTAAATATGTTTAGTCATTGTTTTGAGAAAGTCATTAATTATTTTGAGAAACTAAGTCAGTATTTTGAGGTCTCTTGTTATTTCCTGATTCTAAGACATTATTTTAAGAAAATTTCTCATTATTTTGAGATGCTAACTCATTAATTTAAGATAAGCAAGTCATTATTTTGAGATTTTTTTGTCATTTCAAGATATTAAATCGTTATATTATGATATAAACTTATTATTTTGTCATACTAGCTCATTATTCTGAGAAAAAAAAATCTTATTATTTTGAGATACAAACTCATTTTGAGAAAGTCTCTCATTATTTTCTGATTCAAATTCATTATGTTAATTTATTAAGTCATTATTTTAAGAAAGTTTCTCATTATTTTGAGATATTCGGTCATTTCGAGATATTAAGTCATTATTTTAAGATACAAACTCATTTTGAGAAGGTTTCTCATTATTTTTGAGACACTAAGTCATTATTTTGAGGTCTCTCATTATTTCCTGATTCTAAGTCATTATTTTAAGATATTAAGTCATTAATTTGAGATAAGTAAAGCCTTATTTCGAGATATTATATTAACATACAAACCCATTATTCTGAGAAAAAAAAGAGTTATTAATTACTTTGAGATACGAAGTCCTTATTTTGAGGAAATGTTTCATTATGACTTACAGGATCTTTGTTTTTCATCACATTGGTAGAAATTAGTTTCCATACATAGATGACGTTAACTTACAATATCAGCCGCCCACTCTCTACATAATACTGCACTCTCAGAAACAGGATGAATGGCACCTGGGAATATATGTAAAGGTAGAATAAATATTTCAACAGAGTCAAAAAGAAATGTTGCTCACTTTGACAGTCTGGTTAATATTTAAAGGAACAAACAGACATCATATTTCCCTGAACATTAATGGAACAAAGAGTAGTTTGTACAGAACATCTCTTTGGATTTAAAGCAATTATAATGGTTTGTAAGTTCAGCAATTTACTGGGGCAGCACTACACGCAGTACTGTCTGTAAATCTTAAGGGTAAAGGTTTAATCTCACCATTAAGGATCCTCTGCTCCAAGTTTTACCAAAGTACTTGCTCAGCTTTTGCTCCAAATCAAGAAAGAGGTATTCATTATCTGCGGACAGAAATACACACAGTGAATATTCACTGAGAAAACAGGATCAGGGCTGCTGTACGTTCATTTACCCACAGCCTCCCTAAACTACAGCATCTCTCAGTAAATGAAGTCAAAACATTTTCTCTTGACTCCCGCACAGACAGCAACTGACCTCTGAGGACAGCCAGACCCAAGACTTGGAGCTCACTGACGCCGAGCTGCTTCAACACACTGTCCAACACCTCGTGGCCTCTGGATCTCACCTAACACACATAAGAATAATAAAATAAGAGTACACGTGAGCTTTGGGCTCATTCATACAGGATTAAGGATTTGCAGTAAGTGCATTTAGTTAATTATTGGGTATCAGGCAACCTGTCAGACCTCATACAGAGTTTAGTTGTATTTCAAAATTGTAGTTTCAGAAGCTTTTCCAGTTGAATTACCCTCAATATATCCAATATATATCATACTGATCATGTGTGTAACACTGGCACATCAATGACAGCTGTTAATGTCAAATGAAATCTGGAGTTAATTTCTTCAGTTCCAAGTAATGCATTAAAATAAAAGACTTAAAAACCACATAAATACGACTCAAACAGGACATAGAGGCCACTCACCATAACAGTGCAGTCCAAGTGCTGCTTGGTTGGTAGAAGGACACAAACTTGACGCTTCTGTGTCGTCCTCATGGTCACAGAAGCTTCAGCTGCTCTCAGACCTCCATATATTCTCCTCCTGTCCTCCCATGGGCCAACCAAACAAGCCTCCCTAACCTGCCACATAATGACTTCACACTCTTGTTGATATGAAACAGAGAAAAGCATCAAAGCCTCACATTGCACAAGACTTTATCACAGGTTCTTACTACAGAGATGTGTTCTTCTCTTTGGGATTTATTAATTTCTGTATGATATTTACTCACGATGGTTACAAAATGAAAACAGGAATGTGTGAAGTAAAAGCTGAGGCGTTGTTGGCAGCATGCTGGATGCTGCTTTAAAACTTTTAAGATTTGGACATTAGTAAGAGAAATAGTGGACAAACGATGATTATCTGTTAGGTATGTTAAAAGTAACTGATTTAAAATCAGTTACTAAGTAGCTGCACTTGCAATTATTATTTTTTAAGCCAGTATCTCACAATCACGACTTCATTATTTCGTCAACTCGTATAAATGCACCCAAAATGTATTGAGGATGGATTGGCCACACTATCATGACCACTATGAACACAGGTGTAAATGAAATTGCGTTTTAATCCACATTCAACTACATGGGTGGAAATATGTCATCGTGTGTGACTGTTCCAAGCCACTGAGGCAGCAGCTTTCCTCACGTGACGCTGAAGCTGCAGGTCGCACAGTGATCTCTCATCTGATGCTAACACCACCGCCGTGTCTCCCTGATCTACAGTATATTCTTCCTCTCAGTCACTGTCTTCAGATACGCTTGTTTCATCCTCGTTAACCTCGCTGTTGCCTTCTAAATCTTCCTGACTGGCTCTACAGACCAGTGAAGATTGCTTTAAATACTTGTTTTATTTCTATGCTAATGCTGTCTGAAAATGCAGACAATAACATGTTGTGCACACTATTACTCTTCTTCCATTGTCACTCTAAAGCCATGCAGCGCCGATTTGTGTTTCCATTGTCAGTTTAGATGCACTGTGCCACCCTAAGCCACGCCGGAGATGGACCCTCTTCAAAGTAGGCCCAGAAGCCGGGCTGCCTGCTCTCAAGCGGGTAGCGGTGACATCTCGACGACCACAGCCAACCTCCAATGATCTTCTTCAAGAAGGTAGCCCTGTTATAATGGAAATGCAAATTCCTGCTGTGCTGGGCAGACAGCCCAAACCAAGCCAAGCCAAATCATGACTGTAGAAAAGGGTTATCTATCTATCTATCTATCTATCTATCTATCTATCTATCTATCTATCTATCGACAGACCCATCCATCTACACATCGACACATTAATACCCAGTGTAAATGTAATCAAGTGAAGTTGTATCTAGAAATCACTTTAATGCAAGGTGAAAAGGGGGTCAATTATGGGTACTTATCCATCTGACATTTTCATCTTGCTACAGTTGTCAAGGTGCCATCTATGCTTGCAGACATGGCACTCTGAGTCAACAACATAATTAACTCAGGGTTTCGAAATAAGTATAGTATAAAAAAAGCTGGTCTCAGCCTCTGTAAAATTGAGAGATATGTTCGGTCAAATTCAAAATTCATTCATTTCCGGAACCACTTATGCTGTTGTAGGTCGCGGGGGGGCTGGAGCCTATCCCAGCTGACATTGGGTGAGAGGTGGGGTACACCCTGGACAGGTCACCAGACTATCACAGGGCTGACACATAGAGACAGACAACAGTCATACTTACATTCACACCTACGGACAATTTAGAGTCACCAATTAACCTGCATGCCTTTGGACTGTGGGAGGAAGCTGGAGTACCCAGAGAAAACCCACGCTGACACGGGGACAACATGCAGACTCCACAGAGAAGGGCTCCCCCACCCTGGGTTCAAACCAGAAACCAGGAAATGACACTGACACCCAAACATTCACTGTGCCACCCCACACTATAAGATAAATACCTTCACATAAGACAGACAAGACACCGTTGTTAATCTATCATTAATTTATTTAAAAACAAAATCTAATAATGCCAATTGTGCTTTGCTCTGAGAAAGCAAGAACAAAAAAAAAAAAAAAACAGTGACACTTTTGTTTTTAGTAGCTGGTGATTCTTCTTATAGTAACCACAAGTTCTCTGCTCGTGTGTTTAACTTACAATCTACAGTGCTCTTTTGGAATCCCACACGAAATAATCTTTGTTAACATGCACAAAAACAGAACAGAAAACACAACCAAAGAACACTACAGTGCATCGAAAAGGCACCTGTTCCCCAGATACAGGCATTTTTTTTATCCTACAAAGTTACATAGTCGTAGAGGGATGTCGTTAATGCAGCTTCAGTAGCGACGAGTCTTGACAATAATCCCCATGTTCATGTTTAAATGTCTGTACCGACTCCGTCGAGCACTCTACCATATCGCATTGACCTTTGTGGGGACAGATGAGATACATTCAAGAGGTAACAAAGTTAACTGCATCTCTAAACAAACGACGATCCGTCTCTGCGACATGATTCACACACTAGACTGTAAAATACAATTCTCAGGTTAAGTAGAGTTCACATTTAAATGTCGATGATTGAAGGCGACCGGAGGAAACATGCAGTACAGTACGTAGAGTGGTTTTATCCTGGCGGCGGTGTCCCTCAGGGCGGGGACTCGTACAGATTGTGGGCTCAGAAATGCTTTGAATGTAAATAAAATGGCTCTGATCACATTCCCGTTTAAAGGACGTACTTTTCTGTTCTTCAACGTGCTATGGGTGCCGTTCACCGATCCTCCACAGGTTTACGTTTTCAGGGATAGTTCGTACACAGAGTTGAAAAAAAAAAAAACTGCATGAGAACTGCAGGTATTGAAAGTCATAAATAAAGCAAAATGTGTTTAAATTAATTGTAACAAGCAATGTTGTTTCAGTATAAATATTCAAATGTTTACCAGCACACATCCGATTTACTTTTTTATTGCCCTATCAGATCAAGAATGTCGATTTCTAACATTCTTCACATTATCAATTTGAGAGAATATTGTCAGCATCGCCTCAATTAATCCAGAATATCCAACAAAACTTACTCTGCCCTTTCCAAACACACTCCTCCTCCTCTTTATACACCAACATTAACTTACTGTACATTTATGTAATACAAAACGCACTCAGAGTTACAACCACAAGCATAAGACACAACCTAAATATAAATATTGAGTCTTGTTGAGTTATTTTACAATACACATGTAAATGTTTTGCAGCTAGATGCACATTAACTGTGCAGCGAGACTTCACAGTCAGGTTTTGATTCAATGTTTCATTCTGGTAGTATTGATCTGTTTTTGATTTTCATGATCGACATGTTCTGTTACCAAAGACTTCCAAACCTGTCTCACACCATTCTCTTTTTTATTTGACATGAGCATTTTGGAACAAAAACTTTCTTTTTATCTATTTAAGCCGTGTTTCCACCAAGCAGTCCGGCTCAGGTCAGTTTGTAACATATTATGTTTATTTTTCAATTGTCACGTGGATGGTACCAACAGAACTGTTCCAATCCATACCATCTTCTCGTCACCCCTCTGTTGAGGTACCAAGCACACTGATCGGACACTAAAAGGCGGAGCTAGAAACGCTGCAGTCCATTGATTGGTTACTCAGACTACAGTGGACTGTGACCACTGTTCCTTCAGCGGCAAGTTTACACACATTAGTGACTCATTCATTTCCATAACCGCTTATCCTCTTAGGGGTCGCAGGGGGGCTGGAGCCTATCCCAGCTGACATTGGGCGAGAGGTGAAGTACACCCTGGACAAAAAAGGCTGACAAAAAACACCAATTAACCTGCATGTCTTTGGACTGTGGGAGGAAGCCGGAGTACCCGGAGAAAACCCACGCTGACACAGGGTGAACATGCAGACTTCCCCACCCTGGGTTCGAATCAGGAACCCTGGATGTTTGGATGATTTTCATCTTGCAGGCTCGTCTGCAATGTGCCAAACAGTGTAGGAGAACCACTAGTTTGTAACGTGTTTTAATCAGCTGATCTGTTCATTTCGGAGAGGAGGAGACCTGCGGATAAATTGGCTCCAGGTAAAAACCTCCTGAACAATGAACACCAAAGAAATTTTAATCCCCCTAAATCTTACACACTGCTCCTTTCAATATGACTGTGACCATTCCATTTCTTTTTATAGGCCCTCTTGCATGACACATGCTTTCATCATGATTAGATCTTCAAGTGCTTAAAAAAGTGTTTATGAATTTTAGCCACATTATGTGAACTGTGAATATTTTACTTCCTCACTTGGAGAAAAAAAACAATTGCCTAGCGTCGTCCCTGTGTGCTCCAGCAGTGCTACACCCCTGCTCCACTCTAAACACTGCAGCCTGCTCTTTTTTGTTCTGAAATTGTCTCACAACCCCATTTTGTGGACAATCAGCGAGGTGGAGACGTTCCTCTGGATCGACGGTGAAGAGGAAACACAGCGAGAGATGCAGCTATTACCATCTGTTAACAACCCCACCTACGTAATAAGAGCACTGTTTTAGGTGGAAACGCATAACAGTTCAGTTCAGGTACACGTCTGTACAGGTTACATATGGTTCTGAGGGTAATACACTGAAAGTGTTTGGTGGAAACTCGGCTTTAGTGGTTGATTTAAATAGATTTTCATTTCAAGTGAAGCACTGAAACAAGAATATTAAAGAAAAGGTAACCTGACAGCTGAGGACTATTATTTCTGCATTTAAAAGTAAACAAAGGAGAAAGACGTCCTGTCCTTCCTTCAACAGTATAACAGACACTATCTTGACCTTTTGTTCAAACGGACTGCACAGTGGATATGTACCATTTGTTTTTACCACACTGTGCAGTTCCTCTGTTTTGCGAACATCAAACCATTGGGAGCTTAACTGCTCTCTTCGCAGTGATGCTGAGAACGGCTTTTATACAGTGAGTTTATAATACAAGAAAAAAATGGAGGTGATCCCAAAACTCTCCCTGAAAGGCATAACCAAAGAGTTTCTGAGCTCGCTGTGTTCAAACCTAAGTGGATGTG